TAATATTTTTATTATTATTATCGTGAAAATTCACTACTGAGGAATACACCTCTTAAAGAAAATGCTAAAGATGATATAATTGGAGATAAAATACAGCACGAAAAAGAGGTTTAATTCAGAATCTTAAAACTGAACAAATACAAAAAATTCAAAAAATTAACGCGGATTGTGGAGCTGGTGCTTACGATTTATAAGAGATTCTATATCTGGGTTGAAAGTTGAAAGCTTTAAACGCAGGTCACTTTTCAGACTGAGCCTATTTCTATATTTATTTTTTAAATATACCAAAGTGGAGAATGACCTCTCACACAAATATGTGGTTGAAAACCCCATCAGCTACTTTAAGGCAATCCACCCAAATTTATCCCGCGACCCACTGGTGGGTCGCGACCCATAGTTTGGGAACCACTGGTCTATAGTATGATGATCACTGCGTTTTCGAATGGAATCCGTACGTGTTTCATTGTCCGGCATTTGTTTTCTCTTGGTCATATTTACACGGCCGGCGATAAGAAATGACAATAAAACCGGGTGTCATTGATGAGTGTAAAATAAACTTTCTTATCATTTTCATTGGTATTATGTCTGGATGTTTGTATGCCATCGATGTTTGGTAGGGGAACACAAGAAAGTGGAAGTTTATTGCCGTGAAATTTGAACATCCACCTTATTTTTGAACAGTCCTGNGCGGTAATTCCAAATATTTAATTACGCCTAATGCCACCTAGCGGGTAGCTGAAAAAGATAGTACATAGTACCACTACTCGCCACTAGATGTCGTTGAGTGTCACAATACACAATAATAATTGAAATGCAAAAAAAGCGTAAGTTTGCTTAGGTCACGCACTTTGCGACTATCCTAGTCTAGAAATATAGTTAAGCGTAGAAATTGACCCTTGGAACAAACTGAAAAAAATCATTATGGCCCGAAGGCTTCAAAGTTTGGAGACCCCTGGTATAAGCAATGGTATAAGCAATCTTCATTCTCGATTCATATCTGTTTTTAGAAACAAGTTGCGATCATTTACCTTAACAAACGTTATTCATTATCGAACCATGAAAATAACTGGAATCCTCGCCTTATTCTTTGTTATTTAATGATTCTATCATTAACATCGGAATAATTTGCGATAAGGTAGGTGATAATTAGAAGATACCATTGTTTGAATAATCCTACGAACTAGCTTAGTGCATATTTTTTCAAATATAGATCAGAACGACTTTAACAAAGTCCTGGTTAACTACCAACAGCTGAGAATAGATGAGGCTGAAGTCGAAGTAATATTTTTTTCGGCAACCCTCCGGAAAGTATCACGTCGTTGTTGTCATTTCACACATCTTTCTCAGGACTTTCCATTCTCAAACTATATCCATCCAACAAAAAAGCAAGCCAAACTATGATAGATGAGTGATCAAAGCGTGATCACTACGCACATTGGCATCTGTTGCAGGTCTTCTTACGCTGGTCAATCAGATTTACCTGCAATCGGGTGACGGAATTCATTGTACAGTGTTGGAGAGGTCAGTTACGTTTTAACGCATATACGGTATTTTGAAGTTTAATTTTTTAAAATGTCAAGTACTGACACGGCTGAAGAAACTGATAATTTTTGTCCCTGCACTCCTCCTAAAAATTTTCCTATACCTAGTCGCATATTATTGAAAAAAATTTGGTCGTTCCTTAGTGCGACTCTGTACAAGCAGCCTTGTCTGGGAGATCACGTGCACTATGCATTTGGAGCACTCTGTAGCTTAGATGAACAGAGTAAAGTTTATACTATAGTATGAAAATTCAGCTTATACTCGAGATGAATCTGTATGAGAAAACACAATTACAATAAATTGAAAGTTTCCGAAAAAATGAAATCTTCTTCACTGAAGAACATCGTGAAAACGCGGAAAAATAGTTTTTACTAAAATACAGTTTCACAGCTTACACGTGATATATCTTTATTATAAAAAAATGTTGAGTTATCTACATTGAGCAAATAGTAAACATTGTGTTTCGCGTTTATGAAAGTCATTGATAAATATAAAAAATCGTATTTAGTGATATTATTTCCTTGTGATAATTATTGAAATTCTCATTCTAAGGAAGAGCTACCTACTTCCATACTTTTAGGATGATAACTTTGACCATAGTCAGGTAGTGAACATTATGCACAAGTTATTTACTCAAAAGTCAAAATTTTGTGTAGCAGTAAATAAAATATGAAAGCAAACCCGGTATGGAATTTCTAACAAAGAAATTTTTACCTGCTTCCAGCGATGATGGAAATATTTTTTCAACAATTTATTCCTTCGAAAGGCCATTGAACAATAATATTGGTACGGCGAATATTTGACCGCAGTTAAATTCCAGCCGAATCTCTACCAATTCCATGATTTTTCTGTTACCGATCCCGAACCGTTGAAACACGCCTCAATATTTTGGGCACTTTTATGTATATTTATGATCCATTCAGTTCCTACGAGTATGTAGTATGATAACATCAATGGTACCTCTGTATTTGTGTAGGGAGATGGAATTTCGAGAACTCACTCTGAATATACTATTTAGAAACTTTGCTAAAGTTTGATAAACTGATGAACCAATTTTTTCCTAGAGGAAGAACCATTTTCAAGAGAAGAGATAGACGAGATATTTCAAATTATCGGCCTATCCCTATTATTTGTAACTTTGCAAAGGTTTTTGAGATTCTGCTGGAGCGAGTTATATATCGGCATGTTAGTTGCAATATAAGTATACACCAACACGGCTTTATGAAAAATGGTTCAACGGTCACCAATCTTCTGACTGTAACTCAACATATTGCTGAATCTATTGACAATAGGGCCCAAACTGATGTTATTTACACAGACTTTTCTGAGACCTTCGACAGGCTTGACCATGGCATTCTACTGAACAAACTAGTAGCCTTTGGATTATCTCCATCCTTAATCGCACTTTTTCAGTCCTATCTACGGGATCGAAAACAATATGTCCAGCTCAATGGTTTCAAATCTACCGAATATAGTGCTTCTTCCGGTATTTCACAAGGTTCAGATCTGGGACCGTTGCTCTTCAATATATTCATTAATGATATTGCAGATGTTATAGATGTGTATTTCCTTTTATATGCCGATGATCTGAAACTATACTGCCTCGTTGACAACATAGATGATTGTGTGAACCTCTCAGCAAATGTAGGACGGGTTGTAGAATGGTGTTATCGAAATAACCTGTTACTGAACCCGGATAAATGTAAGGTCATGTCCTACAGTTTGAAAACGAATATCTTGATCTTTGATTATTCAATAGAAAACGTTTCCCTGGTGAGACCAGAAACATTTACTGATTTTGGCGTCACATTTGACAATGCACTATCATTTAATAGGCATATCGATAATGTTGTAGCCTCCTCCTGTCATTTGTACGGGTTAATTGCACGTAACAGTAGTGATTTCAAAGAAACTTCGACTTCAAAAACTTTATTCTATGCTTTCATAAGATCAAAGTTAGAATACGCGTCAGTTGTGTGGATCCCCTGTTATCAATATCACATTGATAGAGTAGAAGCAATTCAACGACGATTTTTAAAACTGCTAAGCCTGAAAACCGATGGCATTTATCCTCCAATTGGAACAACCCACTCTGAATTGCTACAAAAGCATAATTTTTGCAGTCTCGAAAAAAGGCGTCAATATTATAGTGTTGCACTAACCTATAAAATTATCAAAAGCATAGTTGACTGCCCAACATTACTGGAAAAGTTCAATACTTTCTATATAAAAACATCTCGCCCAAATGTTCTGGAGAATACTCCGATCCATACCATGTGTAAAGTGACAAATTCTGTTAGCGATAATTTAGTTGCAAATTGTCAAATATAAAATCCCACTTCCTAAAATAATTGTTTTGTCACCTATAATAAATATAAAATGTGTAGTCTTTATGGTCACTTGTTTGTGATGTATTTATTTTACTCTGTCATTTCCTGCTATGTAATTGGGCTATGTCCTGTAGAGTATTGTATTACAAATAAATAAATAAATAACTTATCTTAATGTTCAGGAATAGTTCCCTGCTCCTGTTAAAAAGTCACTCATACATTTTTTTTGTTTCAGGTGAGACGTTCTTTGAAAATCCGTGGCCGTCGAAAAGATAAAGAGAAACTGCCTTCCGGCATCACCGCCGACTACACTGCCGACTTCCTCGCTAGTCTAGAACGGACCGATTCACCTCTTTCGACCGTCACCGGTTCCCCCTTGTCTTCCGGGCATCACCACCAACACAATCACGACGGTTACACGCAGTCTGACAGTTCGGAAACTAGTCTCAACTCGTTGAACAACCCCCACAACCAAAAAAATCTACCTCCTCTTCCGCCGAAGCCGCCCAAAAGGGGTATCCTCAAGACGCCCAAGGTGAACGTTACCCATGGAGATGATGAAACTCACGACACTAACGGATACGACACCCCCGATCGAAATCATACGAACCTGGTGAGGAACACTCTCCAGAACGAGCTGATCACGTATCAAAACTTGCCGGTACAGAATGGTATCAATGGCAAAGATATGGGCTCGCAGTTGTTGGTGATTACTTCAACTTCGCCGAGCGCTGATAGCTTAACGGACACCACGAATTCATCTTTCGCTACACCGCCGTTTTCGTTGAGTCCCGTGGGAGAATCGCAAGGATTTCATAGGTAAGACAATGGTTTATTTGCTCCATTACAAGAATCACCTGAAAGAATATCTGAGTCTCCTTCTTGAGTGACGCTGACCAAATAACTGCTATTAGGGTAGTGGAGCTAACGGCCAAGCGGATATAGAATATATTACCCGTTACATACACGTACATCACAAGGCCGATTCCATGACATAGTCACACCTCATTATTGAGAATCACACGTTAAAACGATAGAATCCCGTTAAACTGTCATGTTCCTTGAATGACGTATTTTGAGACACTCTGTACACATTGATGTCATGTTTTTTTTCTTAAACGATGAGATACCCTATATATCTCGATGTCAGTCATGTTTTTTTTCTTTGAAGCTGTTTTTTCTCACATGATGTATTTTGACGCACTCTGTATACTCCGCTTGATGCCTTTTACATTGTAGTCATGTTTTTTTTCTTTAAATGACGCATTTTGAGACACCCTGTACACACATCGATCGCGCGTTGAAATATTACAGTCCCGTTAAACTGTCACGTTGTTTTTTCTTAAATTATGTATTTTGATGCACCCTAGTATATTCCACTCAATGCCCGTTACATTGCCGTCATGTTTTTTTCTTTAACGCTGGCAGCCATGTTTTTTTTTCTATAATACCCTGTATACCCATTTGTTCTCATTCCAAGCGCGCTCGAATCGTTATCACTCAAACCGCGATAACGCTGCTCGATTCTCTGCCGTACGCGTGACCTTGAAAGGAACCAAAAACGCCAGAATGGACCTTAGCCATTTTCCATGTTAATCTCCATAAGGAATGAGCCAGAACTCTTGCAGCCTATTTACTAAATACTATTCAGAGATGGACGATGTGGCAGACCGCCCAATCCCGCACCTACTCAGGAAACAAGCGCAAGTCACGCTAATCCCTGATTCCCGCCTGCTTTCTGATAGATTCAATCGTTCTAGGCGTCGGGGCTTGCGATCCTTCCAATGAGCACTAGTATTCGAACCTAGCCTTAGAGGACTTTAAGGCAGACGTTTGAGGAGTCGGACCAGGGTGGATCTCGACCTGCCATTTCCAGGGGCGATATTTCCGCTTGACTTGGCAAGGTCGGCAGGAACAGATGTGCGATCCGAACACTCTATGGGGAAAGTCGAGCATAGTTGGTCCGGTCAGTACTGGGTCGAACGTAGCTGAATTAAGTGCCTTACGCTGCCCTGCGGATTTGGGTGTAAGGGATTTGGGTGTAAGGGATTTGGGTTTGGCTGCGAGAGGTAAGCTCAGTATGACCAGGTTTGTGTGACAGGGGAAAGTACCCGAATGGTTTTCCATAAACCCGACCCGACCTCATGTCACCGCATCTACCACTGATCGAACAAAAATTACCTGTTATATACTTTTGTTCGGTATTGAAGGGCAGCAATTCCAGTTTTGCATGTCAATCTTGAGATCTGCTGTACTCTAAAGTCAGCAGTCATTACCATTGCAGTCTGAAAAAAGGCGTGACTTCATGGTCAAACAAAGAAGGGAGTCCGAACTCCACTGTTTTCATCCAAAACCATTGTAATATGTAGACTCTATTAACTTAAAGACTCTAATTCTTCTAGTTGTAGTCGGATGCTGAAGTATGATCGTGGAAAAGTCAAGTTTCTACTTGCCGGTCCCATGCCAATTCTACTTTGTCAAGTTTCTACTTGTCGGTCCCATGCCAATTCTACTTTGTATTGTAATAAGTTATAGCCCTTTCAGAAGGAAAAGACTTTGGTTTTGCTGTATTTTCAAAATACAAAGGGGTCTCAGAAATGAGTTTCTTGTAATCTATATAATTCACTACTGTATAATTCAATTCTATAAAAATATTCTGTGATTTTGAAATATTGATTACTGAATCAGTCGTAGACTTTTATCTTAATACTCTAGATTACAACTTATCAAATTCGTTTGGAATTATCTCCCCTTCTGAAATACTCAGTAACTGTTCAATATCGCAAGTTTCCACACAATTTATTACAATGGCGTAAGTTAACAATATGATATATTTCACATTTTTAACATTTTCTCTATCTTATTATCGGGGCCCCTTTCAGGCCCATGCTTTTTTTTCATTCAATGTAATATATTGTGAGTCAAGTTCGGATAAAACCATAATATGCCCTGATCAAATATTGATATTAAGTCTCCTTTATATATTGAAATCATACATTTTTATTATTGTGTCGACTGCCAGCAGTCTGTATGTCAATATTGATCAAATTTGTAACGGAGACGATAACGTTTTAGTTTTTATTGGCGTGCGACCTGATATTGAATATCAAATAATGGATGTTTATTTTTACAATACTGAAGCATCTATCAATGTATGATAATATTAATTCCGCATTAACATTCGAAACCTTATGAAAAGTGAGCTTTTTATATCTGAGGATTACAAAGGTTACAAGGGTAGTTTTCAATGTTGAAATTATATAAAGCCGGTTGTTTCGTGAGCCCCACGTTGGGCGCCGATCTAAAAACAGAAACCCTTCTTTCAATTTCATCTAGCTCCATCTTATATTCGAAAGAATTGATTTCTGATAAGAGGATATCATTTATTGAATGAAAATTCTAGAAAATATAATTCATGAGTTGGTTTTAATGAGGCATACTAATTGAGAAATGTATTTTATTTCAGGTGGTCGCGAACAGCAAACTTCGATGACGTGAACCTGCCTTTACCGGAAATAGTACCGCTGACGCTCCCCAAACCGAGAATTTTGACGATACAAAGACAAAAACCGCCTCGAAACGACTTCGGGTTCTCACTTCGTCGCGCGATGGTACTCGAACGGTGCGCGAATAACGGTGGCGGGGACGGCGATTGCGGTGATATGGAAGTGAGCATGCGCGCTGTGATCTTCGCCGAACCCGGTGCTATAGTGCAACACAATAATGAGACAGGGTTGCTTCCCGGTGATAAATTATTGGAGGTGAACGGTATACCTGTTGACGGAAAGGCTAGAGAGGACATCATCGATTTGATAAAGGCGTCCGGGGAGAGCGTTACGTTGAAGGTTTGTTTCTTGTTTTTTTTTTCAGGAAGTTCAATTGGGTACTTTAAACAATGAATCTGAATCGTCTTGAAGCTTCGAAAGGAGATTTACTATACATTAAAACGAATTGAGATACCACAATTGACCGTAACATTTCTGCCATAATAACACGGCCGTGGTCTTGATTGAACAGAACAAAATCCTGGCTAGTACGTCGTAGTCAAACCTGCTTCTGCAACATACATTTTCAATCAGTGGTATGTGCGAGGACGTAGGTTATATTGCGAAGCTCAGCAACGACTGACTGGCGAGCTACCTGTGAAATCGTATTTATGATTTCAGAGGGTGATGGGGGTAGTGGTAAGAACGGTGGGAGGTGCAATGGCGGGGTGTTCAATGACGATAACACGGTAACCATGTGGACTGATCGGAATGTCACAGCAAAAGTGTGGACCAATCAGAAGTGAACACTTGCATGAACATTACATCAACGCCCCACCAAAGTCCGCGTCGTCGACCCCAGCGCCTTCCCTACCATTACCCCCACCAGATTCTGAAATTGTAAATACGTGTGAATACTTAGCTCGCCAGTCAGTCATTGCTGGAACTTCGAAATTTAACCTTTGTCCTTGCAGTTAACGCACATACCACGAAACGTTTTGTAGTTCAGCTTCAATTTTAGTAAAGGGGTTATGGGAGTTCTAGAACGAAATTCCATGCTTTTTCATGAAGAAACTTTGTGGAACCTTATGGACTAATCGCGTTCGACCTACCTCGGGGCCTGATCCGGTGGATTGGGTCTTTCCTGAAAGACAGAAAATTTCAGGTTAGAGTAGAGGGCTCCCTGTCTGACAACAGAGAGATCCTCGCTGGAGTGCCACAAGGGGCTGTGCTCTCTCCGACGCTGTACTCACTTTACACCAGTGACTTCCCGAGGTCTGAGTGTGTGAAGATATCCTTGTACGCTGATGACACGGCTCTCCTCTCGTCTTCCATGGGTTGAGAGCTCGGCGTCGTCTACATGCAACGTGCATTGGACGACCTCGAGCGCTGGTACCTCGAATGGAAGATTCTAGTGAACCCAGGCGATAACCATGGGAAGAACGATATCTTCTCCGGCCAGAAAAGTGAGGATATCTGGAAGGAAGATCGACTGGCAAGCGCGGGTAAAGCACCTCGGCCTTCTAATAGACCGTAGACTCACCTGGAACCCGCACATTACAACAGTGAAGGCAAAAATCGAGGGTCGGATCAGAAGTCTGTACCCTCTGCCTTAAAAACAAGATTACGATCTACAAAACCATGTTCAAGCCTGTCGTCATGTATGCTCCAGGCGTCTGGGGACAAGCAGCCACGTATAATATCTCCATTCTGGAGAGATTGCAAAATAAGTTAATGAGGATGATTGTGAATGATCTTAGGTTTGTGCGGATTGAAGCCATCCGCAGAGATTAGCAGCTACCTTCCATTAAGCAGTCCATTCAGTCGAGAAATCGGCAAGTCTTTGATTGGGCAGAAACCCACGATAATCCGTTAGTTAGGGAAGCTATATATTATGCTGTAGACGATCCCTCCCGATATAGAAGGCCCAGACACTCAGTCAAGTGTCAGTCAGTCAGTCAGTTGAAAGATGAACAATATCTTCATCCAAATACCCCAGCCAGGTAGAGGTCCACGTCATCCGTCATCCCATACAGTCAGTTTTGACCCGTTTGTCTTCCTGACGAACCTCAGTTCAAAAAGTAAGAGCGCCCGTACACGAGCTACATTTTGCGGTCGCGTTCCAGCGAACTCAAGCCGCCCATAAAGAATACTGTACTACACGTACACGGGTGTTCACAAAAGTCAAAACGGGCGTCTGCAGTCAACTTGCTGCTGATCGCGGCATCCGCCGTACACTAACCACAAACTTGCAGTCGTACCCAACCGCGTATACTGTCGTGTACTTTTTCTCATATTGGTCTCACAGCATTCAATTTTTGATGTCAGTTGCTTCAACTGCAAGTGCGGTTTATATGACCGCAAGTCGACCACAAAAATGTGGTTGAGTCAACCGCAAGTGCAGTCAACATGGTCACAATGTTGTGGTCCGTGTACGGCCGGACTAAGGGAGCCAGACTCCAACCTGTTTGACCCAAGATGGCTTTTGACGAACCTTGTGGAACACCCAACTCAAGATTGGTGTGACGTGTAAAGGAGTTTAACAAACTGCAATATGTGTATGTATGAGGTGGGTGACGATGAAGTGAGTGAGGAGTAGGGAAAAATAAATATGGCGGCATGGCAAAAGGGTACTAAACCGCATCTTCATCAATAATAATCGGATCGCTATGTGCAGCACATCAAATGGACGGGGAAGGGATGCAGAATTTATCACTCTCTCTCTCTCTCCCATACACACACGTATTGTCATTCGTGCCACACACACGTGTTTCAATCACAAAGTGATCATCTTTAAGAGGAAGATTAATGGTGTTTAATGGTTTGGTGTTGGGACTAAACTCCAGTAATGTTTAATGTGGAGGGATTTGGACACAATTCAAGAAAATCATAGTTCTGAATGTGCTTCTCACGTAGATAGTGGACTTGTATTCCTGCTGAATTTTCTGGAAATGAAGTGAGAATTCCAAATGAACTAACTCTCAATAAACGATTCGTTTTCACTTCGTATGAAACTACATCGAATAACAAACCATCAGACTGGCCCAACTTTTACATAACGCTAATTATTTGTTATGCATACCCGTTTGTTCGCGTTGCTTTCTATTTCCAACGAAATCTCTGAATACTCGTAATTTGCATATTCAACAACAATTTGTGATGTTTCGACGCGAGAAAACAATACCCGAATGCCGTTCACGTCTGCGATGGCGAATCGGAGCGAAAACGCATTGTTTCGGGATGAGAAACGGACACCATCAGCGTTTTCCAGAGCGTGACGGTGTTCGTCCTACTGACACTTTGATTGTTAATTGCTGCGAGCTCGAAGTTTCGCAAGTAATTGACTAATTAGGAGTTATGGAAGTTGTCGGGTCTGTCCTCAACTTGTCGCGAGCCACACTACAATCGATTAGAGTGCCTTGCGTTGTTTGTAAACAACGGTAGATATTGTGGGTACAGTTTCACATTGAATACTTTCTTTTCGATGGCTTGCGGGATGTAGGCAGAGAATAAATGTTTTCCAACCGCAGATTTTTCTTTGGATCCGTTGTAAAGAATCGTGGTTCTGTGAGCTAGATAAAGTTTTTCAAGTAGTCATTCGTTCGCTAACAAATTTTTTTAAACCACGAACTTTTCCATCCATGAGGAGAAACGTCTAGGACCATATCTTTTTTACTTTGATATAGGGCATTCACTCCCCCCCCCCGCGGTTAATACCTACCCTTCCCCCAATTTTTTAAACGGTATGGGGGGTCGAGTGATATATCATTTGAAAAGTTTTTTGTCCCTCTATCACTTCTTTATATTTTTTCGAAATTGGTTTATTCGTTATTGAGAAATTCTTCTTCGTGTTAGATCTTCTCTAGGAATGTGTATGGTTTTGTTCGAAATATTGAATGTGAGATCTTGTTGTGTTTTGATTTGTACTTGTTCCTCGATAAGTGATTTATGACTGTTGAATTTATGGATCAAGTTTTCCCAAATGTCCATGCGGTTTTCCTTGTTGATTTGTTTTATTAGTTTTATAAAACTCTAATTTAATATTATCTGACTACAATTTTTTTCAAACAACAAGAAACACAATTTTAATTTTTCTTGAAAATGTTCAGTCTTGATTAATCCATATTTTTCTAGGTGTTCCTATTGCTTGCTTCTACTTTTGTTGTTCAGTTATGGTAAAAATTAGAAACTACTATAAGGAAAAAAATTTGTAAAATGGATAATATAAAATATGAGTGAATACGATATAGAAATAAAGTAACATGAAATGTATTATACTAAAAATTATAAAGTAAAAAAAAGTATTTATTAATGAGTTACATCAGTCTTCCTTTTAATCCACATTTCTCAAAAACAAAGAAATTATAAAAAAGCAACTTTTTTGATATTTTTCTTTATCATTTGATTTGTGGAATATTTCATTTTGTTTCAGATACACGATTTCGAAGATGTTTAGCTTCATAAAAAAAGCAACCGTTCCAGGAGTAACGTCCGACAAAGATGATAAAGAAAAGAGAAAGAGGGACAAAAAGGACCGGAAAGAAAAACAAAAACGTGAACGGGCCACTATGTCGACTGAAGAACTTTTGCGGCTAGACGAGGTATGAATTGAAAATTATTCCCGAGGATGATATTGGTATTGGGAAATATTGTCACAAGGTGGCGTTGCAAAACTCAAGGAAAACAAATATTAGTTTGTGGATAACAATTGCAATTTTTATATGTGCTGTAAATTGGCTGAAAAGCCTTTTATACACGTCATTCTCAATCCAATGAGCCATCGCTCATATTTTTAGGGCCTCCATTTCCATTTAAATCGGATTCTCAAACTTCTATACTCTAAATTTTATTGAATTGTTTGTGAATTTTCAGTATGAGTTTGATGATTCCAAATCTACAGCTGAATTCCAATGGATCGATTCCCAGACTCATACATTGTATTGTATCCATTTTTGCAAATAGGGATCGGACTTGACATAGTTGGTATATAAAAAAGGTTGGTC